GAATTTATGTATTACAAAATTGGAACAGGGTAAGCCAATATTTGAACCAAGGAAGTCTAGCTCTAGAGCCTGCATATTTAATAGTTTTATTTTCTCTATCTCTGATAAGAAGAAATATACTAGGTGTTATCATTTTATTTGTCATGTGCTTGCCCCAGGGATATAATTTAGTGCACATGGAAGGGCCAGGCTGAAGACTTCTATGAATAGTTTTCTCAAAACAGAGCTTTTGATATTAATCAGTTATAATTAATTATAACCACAGGCAAGAACCTGGATGATATATATTTCATTGCAGATAAAACTATTCAGTACTGGCTGGGCGCCTGGGTGGATCAATGGGTTAAAGCCTCTGCCTTCGGCTCAGGTCATGATCCTAGGGTCCTGGGATCGAGCCCCACATTGGGCTCTCTGCTCCGCGGGGAGCCTGCTTCCTCCTCTCTCTCTGCCTGCCTCTCTGCCTACTTGTGATCTCTGTCTGTCAAATAAATAAATAAAATCTTTAAACAAACAAACAAACAAACAAACAAAACTATTCAGTACTGGGACACCTGGATGGCTCAGTCAGTTAAGCTGCTGCCTTCGGCTCAGGTCATGATCCCAGGGTCCTAGGATCGAGTCCCGCATCAGGCTCCTTGCTCAGCAGGGAGCCTGCTTCTCTCTCTGCCTCTGCCTGCTTGTGTACTCTCTCTCTCTCTGAGAAATAAATAAATAAAATCTTTAAAACTATTCAGTACCTATTAACTTCCTCTTGTTGAGTCCTCTTTCACACCTCACATCCAACTCATCACAAATCTTGGCTCTGTCTTCAAAATATATCCAGAATCTGACCTCTTCTCACTGCTGTTGCCAACATACTAAAAATAACTAATAATAAGTAAGCTAACAATAATATACTAATAATATACTATAATAATTTAGTAAGAGGGTAAACCTTATGTTAAGTGTTCTTACCACACACACACACAAACATAAGATAATAATAAAGGAGGCAGGAGGAAACTTTGAAAATGGATATATTGGGGCGCCTGGGTGGCTCAGTGGGTTAAAGCCTCTCCCTTTGGCTCAGGTATGATCTCAGGGTCCTGGGATCGAGCCCCGCATCGGGCTCTCTGCTCAGCAGGGAGCCTGCTTCCCTCTCTCTCTCTGCCTGCCTCTCTGCCTACTTGTGATCTTTCTCTGTCAAATAAATAAATAAAATCTTAAAAAAAAAGAAAGAAAATGGATATATTTATTGCCTTCATGGTATGATGGATTCATAGGTGTATACTTTTCCCCCAAATTCATTGATTTGTATACATTAAATATGTACATTGAAAAATTTTCAGCTTTATTGAGGTATATTGACAAAATCGTAAGATATTTAAAGTCTACACAATGATTTTGTATATGTATACATTATGAAAGGATCCCCCCAATCAAGTTAATTAACACATCAATCACCTACATATATACAATTTAACTGTTTTTTCTTTTTGGTGAGGCGTTTCAGTTCTGATCATTTAATATATTTCAATAACACAATACAGTGTTATCAACTATTGCCTCCAAGCTATACATTAACTCTTCAGATCTTACTCATCTCATAACTGAAAAGTTTGAACCCATTTGCCAACCTCTCTCTATTTCCCTAATTACCCATACCTGACAGCCATTTTCTACTGTTTTGATAAGTTCCACCTTTTTTTTCCCAGATTCTATATACAAGTGATACCATGCATTATATTTCTTTGTCTGACTAAGTTATCTTAGCATTATGCCTTCCAGTTTTATCAATGTTGCCACAAAGGGCAGGATTTCTTCTTTCTAAAGGCTGAATCATATTTTGTATTTTATTCTATACATATACCACATTTTCTTTATCCATTCATCTGTCAATAGGCATTTAGGTTGTTTCCAAATCTAGGCTTTTGGGAATAATGCTGCAATGAACACGGGAGGCTTTTGGTGCAAGGCCACACCCACTTCTGGAGCAACTGTTTTATTTTCAACAAAAACTAGCTTGTTACTGGCTTCTGGTAATAACAGGTAACATGTACCAAAGCTACTCATTCTGGACTGGGCATTATCTTGTTTATATAGCCATAAAGTTAGACATTTCCAGCAGCGATCTACTACCCATTTCAAGTGATATATACAGAATGGAATCCTTGCCCCCATTAAGGTCTCAAAGGTAAAAGTCAGATCAATGGATTGTTTCTTAATGCTTGGCTACCATATCTTTTTTAAATTTATGCCTTTGCTTGAAGGGGGAACTTTCTTATGACCAGCTGACACAAAAGGATAAGACTCTAGGCTGGATTATCAATGGCCCTGAGGTCAGATTACCAATAGCCCCAGTATCAGTGAAGTGAGCTGTGTGGTATTATAGTTTTTCTCACACATGATCAAAAAACAGCAACAACAACATAACTGGGAAAGGAATTTCTGATTGGCTATTGTGCTTGGTAGAATGTTGACTTGAAGTCAAGATTTACACTAATTCCTGAGAAGTAGCAAATAATTTGTATATATGACCAAGGGAAGAAACAAAACAAGATAATGACCTCATGAGATGAAGAATAGAAGAGTATATTGGAGACCCATGATATTCAGTTTCTCCTTGACATGTGGAACTCTTATTGCTATCAAATAAACATATATGCTCACAAATTGCTTGCAAAGTTTATTTTTCAGATTCAGTCAGCATGAGAATAAAATGTGGTCACCCAGAATAGGTCCATGTCTGAAAGTAAATAAGTGTGTGCTTACCAGAGGTTCCCTACCAGAAACTTCCATGGGAGAATTGGGTAATTAACAGTATGTTTTAACTGGTTGTCAGTAAATCTTTCCCACCCTACCTAGTAGTTGCTAAATGAGGTTCACGAATAAGGTAGCAGTTAAGGCAGGATGGAGGACATTTATGGGCTCAAAGCCTAATTTGATTGAAGCCAATATGAATACCACTATGCTGAAAAAGAAGTGATATGCCTTATGGCATCAACATGTGTGCCAGTCATGCAGCTTGGCAACAAGTGAGTAACTTTGATCTTTTCTTTTGGGGAGAGGACAATACTTTTTTTTTTTTTCTGATATAACCTGCTATTGATTTTTATTTTCTTTTTATGTTCAATATGTCTCAGAAAGTGGAGATAGGCTTATTGAATATTCATTCACTACCATGAAATGCTACACAGCATTTCTTCCAACCAAGGAATTTGTTTCAAAATAAAAAAGCAAACAAACAGAGGCAATAGGTACATATTGCATGAATTATTTTGTAATTCCTTATTATTCATAGATAGTAAGTCTTAAAGGATTGGCCTATTGAGAATTCCACTCTGACACCAGCTGAGGGATACTACCCCCTCCCCCGAGGGATACTTACCTCCCCACACACAACTTTCCAGCAAGTTTAGTGCGCTTGATTGCAGGAGGTGATATTAGCTGAACCATAAGTCAACATTTACATTCTCTTCCATTTGCTGAAACTCTTTGCTAGCCATTTTGAGTCTTTCGTGACTCTAGAGCAGCTTTCCTAAGCAGAAAAGGCTATCACCATATTGTCTGGGATGATCAATTCTATCAAGAGAAAATAGAGGTTCTGTCACAGAGTAAGTGCTGAGATGTAAGTGTGCTGTTGACTCTGTTTTATCATTCCCTGAAGAAAAAGGTATTGAAAACCTCCTACAGCCTCATCTGAATGGATTTTCAAGGGCTCAAATCCCTCATAATTTTTCCAACTGACAAACTCTGGTACATCCTGAGAGGAAAAAAAGCTCAAATGAAGTGATAGACATGGAGGAAAGTCAAGAGCTTTGGGACCAACTATAGGAGTGATACCTGTAATACATACCTGTGTTTAGCTATTATTCATCTTTTGTTGGTATTACCAATATACTCACATGCCAATTTTCTTTCCCTACCACTGGGCATAGTGTTTAATGAATGTTAAATTTACCACTAGTCTAAGTTACATAGAAAGGTGAGTAGTACATAAAAGGGTGATGATAAATTAGATTGGGCAAGTGTTAATAATTGTACAGTTTTATTTATATAAATAATTTTGTACAAGGCACGTTCAGAAATATATGTATAGGAAGAAAGATACGTGTGTGGCAGCAAAGTGGTAGAATATATTGAAGATGACAGTCATGGTGTTTTTGAACCTCAACTTCTCATTTTTGCTAACTCCCTCAATGTATATAAAATATAAGGAGAGAAGTGGGCTCAAGGGAGTAACCTTAATTCACTTTTAGTCTTACCGATTTTGTGTTATCCGTAGAACATCCGGTTAGAGGTATAAATTCAGAGTTATATCAATGTGTCTGTAACTCATGGAAGAGCTTGGAGTTGGAGACACAGATTGGAAATTCTCAGTGTATAATACATCTACTTGTGTATAAAATCATCCAAGAAGCCTGAGTAATATGAGATGAATGGGATGTAACTTTGGAGAACTGAGATGTCAAGAATGGTGAAGGTGTCCACAAATGTAGGAACACTAGTAAAAATGATGTCACAGAAACAGCAAGAAAAATGTTTCAAGAAAGAAAGAGTGAAAATGGCATCAGACCCTACTTCAAGAATTATAAGGCCACTGGTGTTTTAAGAAGAGAAGTTTCATAGAATGAAAGGGATCATGTAACTGGCATAGAAAAGGGAAGAAAGAGAACAAAAACTTAGTTTCAATAAGCTTGGCTGTGAAGGGAAAGGATGAAACAGGATAATGTCCTCACAAGATGAAGAGTAGAAGAATATATTGGAAAGCCATGATGTGACTCAGTTTCCCCTTGAGGTATAGTATTCTTATGGCTATCAATAAAAACATATGCTCAATAATTGCTTGCAAAGTTGTATTTATTTTTCAGATCCAGTCAACAAGAGAACAAAATGCCTCATAATGAGAATTCACTTTTTGAGTGAGATACAAATGTTTAGTTATACTATATAGTTGATCATTTTTGTTCATTTATAAAATAAATACCTAGCCTGTTCTACCCAGAAATGTTATAATAGTGTTAACTGACTGCTGGGGTTACAGATTGTTGGCATATGTCTGAGCAAGAACAGGTTGTGACGTGCCTGTATCTGTAAGGTATTGTACTGCCATCAGGACAGCTAAGAACAACTTCTCGGAACTCATAGTTATCTTCTCGGCAGCAAAGGCATGAATTTGTCAACTTAAAGAGTGTATAATTGTACCTAAAGAAAAAGAAAATTCAGCAATAAATATTTTGGGGATATCTTCTGAGGCAAATTGACATCAATGCTCAAATTATAATTGTCAAAGTGATTTAATAATCCTTCCAATCAATTTATTCTTTTCCTATAACTTGCATTTACCCCTCACCATGAACTTCTGATGTGAATCAGTGATATTAGCATGTAAGACCAAAAGAAATAAATCCAAAATGGAAATGTATAAGGTCATAATTAGAGTATTATGGTGCAGATATATAAACAGATTTTTAAATATACTTCATGCCAAATTATTATTCTCTATATATTAACCTGTACATGAAAGTATCCATGAAGGAAAAAAAATATATATATATTATGTCTAACATGCAAGTGATGGTTTAGAAACACATTTTCAAACAAGAGTACTTGCTCATGTACTTTGAGTAATCACTGTGTAAAAATAAATACATTTGCCATGAACAAATTATGTTTGATTTCTTTAGAAAACTGCTTTAAAATAATTCATCGCTATTGAAAATGTTTATTTCTCAGATCTTAATGTTTCAGATATTTGTTTTATCAGGTCTTGATCATTAGCTGTCATGTAAAAAATGTTCCATGTAATGTTTTAAAAGCTTAATTTCCTCCATAATGTTACAAAATTAATGCACAGTACGCATTCAGATAAAAACTTACCAGACAGTCTTCTTGCATTCCCCTACACACCTTGCCATCTCGACTCTTTTCTGGCAACCATTGTACTTAATAGTCACATTCACAGGTGAAGATCTACAATTAGTCTTACCTAAAACAAAATGGACAACAGAATCACAAATGAGGTTTAACATTAACAATTGCTAAGTCTCAGTTTTCTTAACCTTAAGTAGAGAATAACAACAAACAATACTTCACAGCATTGTTGAAGGGATTAACTTCCTCGGAACCTAGCCCAAGGTACCTGGCTAATATTCAACAATTGTCTTTAATAAATGTTATCTTTTTATTATTGTTATCATTACTATCATAGAAGAAGGAGGAGGGAGGGGACAAGGAGAAAGGAGGAGGAAAGAGGAGGGAGGGAAGGGAAGATGAAGGGAATGGATTGTTTTTGACAACCATTTCTACTTTTTGATTATCCTTATGATCTAATATATCAATTTACAACACAACCTGGTGATATTAGGAGAGCAAACTACATTTTTTTTCCTGAAAATTAAATTTCTCTCTTATAAGCATCATTGTTTTTAACTGGGAAGAATGTTTCAACCAACATGAAAAAGAAACATTATGTACAAGTATCAATTATTAGTTTAAACATATAGGTTAGATTACCTGTTATGTTAAAAACACAGGAGACTTTCTATTAATGATCTGCCATTTTGTTTTAAACAAACACTAAATTTTTGTCAACAGTTGACATTTCCTCTACATGTGGAGCTTAAAGCTACTTACATGTATAGCAACATTTTTTTGAATCATAGACTCGGTCTTCCTATAGGGGCAAGAGAAATAGAAAAAAGACTTAAAAAGTCTGTATTTTTGTATAAATAATATAACATTTCTTAACTTAGTGGAATAACATTACAAAGGGGAAAAGGGAACAGATAAACATGATGATCTCAGATCCAGGAAGCATAGATGAAAGAGCATAGTAATAAAAATGAGTCTGAATAATTACCCTGAAATTTTATAATAGTGAGTAGAAAGGGAAAAAGCATTTAAATTCTTCTTCAAAATAACACACAAAGGGTAAAAAAAATTTCCCTCCCTTATTTTAATTGAATAATACCTTAATAATGATATTACTACTGAACACTGTAAGTTTCTCATAGGCAGGACTTTTATCTTACACATCATTATACTCTTATACCTATCAATATCTCAAAGTAAAAACTCAATAAATCCAGTGTTGGATTTAAGCTGAAATCAAACTTTAAGCTATATTATCAATTATATCTTTAGAAAGAAAAATTAGCTAAGATTGAACCATAAATTGGGAGCATTTATTATTAACTAATTAATTTAAAACTTAAGATTAAAACTTAGCATATTAAGGGGAAGGTAAAAATGAAGACTGTGTCACAAAGAAAGTTCTGAACAGTAAATTTACATGTGATTTTATGACAAATTTACATTTTTATAGAAAATGATTAACCAGAATCCATAAGCCTGAAAAAAACAAAGATTTTTTTTTTGGTTTGTTTAAAAATGGTAAAATGCTTTCCAAAGCAACTTACCTCTAGAATAGCACTAAATTAAGTTTTATAGAGCCTGCAAATATAACTTTGATATGAAAAATATACTTGGCAATAAAAGGTGCGAAACATAGCTGGAATGGTATCAACAAGGAATTTATGTCTGTTGGCCAGACACGTACTTTTCCAAATGAGAAAGAAGACAGCTTGTGTTTATAAGAAGTGGATGTTGTTGATCATTACTTAAGAGGATGACTTACTTCTGGACACCAAGTCTGCTTTGGGCAGTCTTGGACCACTGCAACAAAACCAGTGTTGTGGCAGGAGTAGGAGATGCATGGGTTGCTGGGATCATCAAATGAAGCACCAATCTGGGAAGCAGGGAGGAAACAGAGAACAAAGTGATTATTCACCTGGATTTCTTTTTGAGGTTGAAAATAAAATCTGTTTAAAAAAATAAAATTCATGTTTAATGAATTTCCAGAGACACTTTTGGTCATTAATTAATATCTAAGAAAAAGTGGATTGAAAGACTCCAACTTCCATGAATAAACCAGTGTGCCTCCTTGAGAGCACAGAAGGTGTCAGGATTCTCGATCCCTAAATGAAGATCAACATCTACCCAGTTACTCTATTTTTCAAATATTTTCAAGAAAGGTTATTTTATGGTGAGCAGTTAACCAATTATTATGCTACAAGTTTGAGGGAAAACAAGAAATCTAAGTAGAAAAAAATTGTACAAAATAGTTTTATCAGATTATCACAAATGTCAATCCCACAAGACATCCTACTTCTGCCTCAGCTTGTGTTCCTACTTCTGCTTGTGTTCCTGTATTTTTAAAGTTCTCTGGATTGCTTTAAAAATAATTTATGTTCAAAATTCAAACTCCAGTTTGGGAAACTGTATTTCAAATGGCAAAATCAACTTTCTGGTAAACTGGAATTTTATTATTTCAACTATTTTGCATATAAATGTTTAGAGGTAAAACTTTCCTTTTGTTCTATAAACATCATCATATTTTATGTTTAAAAACTGGCATAGTTTCTCAAGTCACTATCATCTTTGGAAAATAAAAATTAAGCAACCCAGAGAGGAATTTGAGTGTGATAAGTTATTGAGCTAAAACTCTCATTGGCTCTGTTTTATATATTTCTTAACATACTTCATAGATTTTATTTTAAACTTTTTTAATATTAAGTATCACCAGTTCAAATGTATTATCAATTTGAGAACTATCTGGGTTTTATGACTTCTTGGTACTTTTTCTAAAAAGTTAAATTACTTTCCAGAATGCCAAATCAGACATCAAAATCCAGCTCTGAATATACATGTTGGTATATTCACATAATAGGGTTCCAGTCTCTGGGGGTTTTTCATTTGATCTCTGACAGTTTGGCCATCTGATCTTTCTGGTTATAATTACAGTTTAACTCTGTTAATTGATTTAAATGTCACAGAGGGTACCTTCTCCATCTGGTCAGACCCCTGGGAAATTTTATTCAGAAGTTAGGTAGTTAATGATCAAGTATATTTTCCCCCTTTGAACTGAGTCTTATATGTAACTGAGTGTTACACTTAATGCTCTTTTTGAAATGAATATAGGGGAAAAAATTGAACAGATTCTGCTCTACCATTACCCATAGATTTTCCATACTATAAGCTGAAAGAGCCTGCCATTCATTCATAATTATGTAAATAAAATATTTAAAAATTAAAAACAGCCTTACCTCATAATCGATACTGTTAAACAAACATGTTCTTGGTTCTGAAAAATAAATACATCATTTTTTCTTAAAATAAACATAATTCTGTTTTTTTAATAAACCAGAAACTGTATATGGGATCATATTTATCAACTAGTTAAAATGTTTCTTCCCACAACACCATCATCTCCTTTTAATCTACTGATTATATTCATAACTGTTAATTCTGGGTTTCCTCCACTCCAGAGATAGTGAGGTTTAAGAGGGCAAGTATGATTCTGTTTTATCGATCACACCTATCTAGCATAGAGTTGACACATATTAGAAGCTTAGTAAATATTTCTTGAACACATAAATAAGTAAATAACTCTTCAATTCAAATAATGTATTGTGGATACACACCACAGTATCCAATTTCACAGCAGGTGTCGTTATCTTGGAACTTTACGAGTCTCTCTCCAGTTTTGCATGTGGGTGCAGAAGGGCACTCCTTGAGGCTACAGTCCACAGTATTTGCATCAGTACAGGTGCATGTGTAACAATTGGCAGTCCATTCCTCTCCAGGCTACAGAAACAAACCAAGTTTAGACTTCTGTTCAAATATAGGAATGACAGGAAATTTAGATTAAAGTAGAGAAAAACTGTACTCACAGATTTCTTTTCTCCCAGTGGACCATGACAAACTGTTAACATGAGATGGTAAATGCTAATTAAATTTGGCAAAATAGAACCATCTGTTATATGTAGATAACCACCAGGTTGCCAATACTGTAACTGGAACTAGGGTTTCAGAAACAGAATTATGGAGAATTGTATGGTACTGTAAAGGGGATAAATCACATCCATTTACTTGAGTAAATTGTCTCTAATGAGTATAGGTCTATTTCCTATTTTACAATTCCAGCATAGGATAAATATTTAATTTCTGCTGGCAGTGGTCAATAAATCTTATGACTACTGTTTTGCATACTGTTTTTCAGTCTGACTTCTACCACCATAATCCTACAAGTCACTAAGACTTTGTAATTATAAGGCCCTTATCATAAGGCCCTTTATCAGTTTTTCAAGTTTCCTACAATTGCTAACATTTTTAACTCTCAGGTTCTTGGAAATGTTCTCCTTCCTTCAGATTCAACACTCTGAAACTCCTTTCTTTACTAGCAGCTTTTTCTCTTTCCTCTCATTGCCTCTACCCTTTCTCTGGCACTTTCTACCATCTCCAGTGTCCACTATAATGTTAAGTGGATGACTCTCAAATTCATAGCTCCAGGCCAGACACCTCTTGTAAAGTATAGAGCCAGGATTCCCTCAGCTTAATAGTATCACGGCAGATCTATGAGACCCTAACACTCAATATGCACAAAACAGATTATATCACCTTGCCCCTGAAACCAGTCTCTCATCTGAACTGGCTTCCTCCTGTTGAGAACCAAACTATCCTTTCAATTATTTGAGTTTAGACTTTAGGACTCATTTTGATTCCTTCCATTCAATCGGTATCCAATCGACCACAATTGGTATCCAATCGACCACAAAATCCTGTATTTTCTCTTTTTTTAGAGTGTTTTCTCTTTTTTCAGTGTTTCAGAATTCATTGTTTATGCACTACACTCAGTGCTCCATGCAATACGTGCCCTCCTTAATACCCACCACCAGACTCATCCAACCCCTCACCCCACCCCCCAAAACCCTCAGTTTGTTTCTCAGAGTCCACAGTCTCTCATGGTTTGTCTCCCCCTCCATTTTCCCCTAACTCCACTTCAACACCTTCCTTTCCTGGTTATACTACAATGCTACCACAGGACTTTGTTATTTTTAAGCTAGCATACTTGGGTTTTTCCAGAAAACTCTGACTCGCACTTCTTCCTGATCCAATCAATTCCTTATACCATAGGTAGAATAATTTTTCTAAAGCCTAATTTTCATCTCAGCACTACCTTGGTTGAAAACTTTTTTTAAAAAGTACTTATTTTTTTATTTGAGAGAGAAAGAGAGAGCACCGGTGAGTGGAAGAGGGAGAGAATCTTCAAGCAGTTTCCCTGCTAAGCATGGGGCCCAACTTGGGACTTGATTTTCACAACCCATGAGATCCTGGCCTGAGATGAAAATGAAACACTTAACCGACTGAGTCCCCCAGGCATCCCTTGGCTAGAAACTTCTGATGGCCCCTTAGAGACTTATAAAACAAATACTTTCTTTCAGCATTCTAACTTCTGAGGTCTGCCACAGTGTGACACCAAACTCCCTTCTCAACTTAGTCTCACTTCTCTCATTTACATACCCTGGACTAGTCTACACATTATTCTCAAATTCCAGTTTTATACTGAAATACCTAAGAACTCCTCCAAAGTACACAATACATATAAAACATATGTGACACTTAAAATGTGCTCTCTATATAATACATATTTCACGCTTTTCAAAGCTGTGATAACCAAGACAGCATTGTACTGGCACAAAAACAGACACACAGACCAGTGGAACAGAGTAGAGTCCAGATATGGACCTGCAACTCTATGGTCAAATAATCTTCAACAAATCAGGAAAAAATATCCAGTAAAAAAAAAGACAGTCTCTTCAATAAATGGTGCTGGGAAAATTGGACAGCTAAGCATAGAAGAATGAAACTTGACCATTCTCTTACACCATACATAAAGATAAACTCGAAATGGATGAAAGACCTCAATGTGAGACAGGAATCTATCAAAATCCTGGAGGAGAACATAGGCAGTAACCTCTTCAAATTTGGTCACAGCAACTTCTTTCAAGACATGTCTCCAAAGGCAAAGGAAACAAAAGTGGAAATGAACTTTTGGGACTTCATCAAGATCAAAAGCATCTGCACAGCAAAGGAAACAGTCAACAGAGCAAAGAGGCAACCCAAGGAATGGGAGGAGATTTTCATAAAGGACACTATAGACAAAGGGCTGATATCCAAGATCTATAAAGAACTCCTCAAACTCAACACTCAAAAAACAGATAACCACGTCAAAAAATGGGCAGAAGATATGAACAGAAGCTTCTCCAAAAATGACATACAAATGGCTAACAGACACATGAAAAAATGTTCATCATCATTAGCCATCAGGGAAATTCAAATCAAAACCACATTGAGATACCACCTTACACCAGAATGGCCAAAATTAACAAGACAGTAAACAACAAGTGTTGGAGAGGATGTGGAGAAAGGGGAACCCTCTTACATGGTTGGTGGGAATGCAAGTTGGTGCAGCCACTTTGGAAAACAGTGTGGAGATTCCTTAAGAAATTAAAAATAGAGCTACCCTATATTTGATCTGCAAGGAGAACAGTGAATGTAGAATGATTGAATTTCAAGTGGAAGTATTATTACCTGGAGGTGGTGGATGTGATGGTGGACATCCTGTGTAAAAACAGATACCACATGTTAGCCTCTAAAGTTACAGAATTTGTTTGGGGGTAAAATTTGTAATAACTGAAAATAATTGGCTATATCACTAGTCTTACAAACAGACTTATTCTTGTCTACCTTCCCTTTCTGCTCCTCATGGCATTTCAAATTCTACCATTAGAGAATATTCCCCTTGAAGCTCAAATTTTAATGAGAGGGGAATATGGGAATTTAAAGGAGAAAGGATAAAACATTAAGGTAAACTTCTCTTCAATTTTTTTATTTGGCAGACACTGCCAATAAATAGGACAGTAAAATATATATTCAAAAAGGAAGAGGACAATTCAGATATAGGAAAATATAAGTATTATTACTAATCCAGTTTTAGTCCTTTATCTTTTTATCCTCTATCTATTTTCCTGAAATATTCCAATATTACTCCATCTCCACCTGAACCAAATGGTTTAAGCTGGTTATATGTTTCTTTTTAAGACTTCACATATCACATATTTTGGTCAACTCAACAATTCACTCAAATTTTCATATTCTACTTCCAAACTTCTAAAAAATCAAGTTAGTATTTTTATTCTACCTATCCAGCCAAAGGCCAGCCTAGAAGTAACAATGTTTGAGAGGAACTTAAAATTGTTACATGTTTAGGTAAAGGGGCCTCAACAACCAATAGGTACAGAAAAAGAGAAAGGAAATTAGTTAAAGATGTGGGAGTTTGGGGAATAAATATCTCTCTCTACTGAATGATGCTAAACTAATCCCCAATTATAATGTTTAGCAGATTAGCAGAAGCCAACAACAGGAGAGAGAAATGATCTAACAGACATAGGTACACTAATCAGGAAGTTATATTGCCATCACTCACTTGTTTGCATTTTAGTTTCAGAGGTTTCCTTGACTTCTGTGGAAGCAGTGACTGCTAAGGAAATAACAAAAGTGGTGATTGGAGAAGCTAGAGTTTGACTTCTGATAAGCTTCTCTGTCTTCTGAAATGCCACCAAACAAAGTTCTTTTATTATTATTTGACTTACCTGTGGTAGAAATTCCAGAAGCAGTGGTTGTTACAAATGCTTCCCTGGAGGTACCTAAAATGAAGAGAAGAAAAGCAATGAACTTTTTCTGCTTTCAGAAGAAAAGGTCCTAAGACATCTCCACACGGACCAAGAGTCTCAGAGACCTGCAATGTACTAATGCATCTACTAGTGTTAGTGCATGTTCCTGTGACTGAAACATAAGAGGTCTATTTTAGCAATCTCCCTGCTGACAGAAATGAATTGAATATTTTTCCTGACCCCAGTAAATTTCTCATTATAGGTCACTTTCTCTAAATGATACAAACTTTTTTCACAACAAATTCTTTTACTTCTTATAACTTGGTTTCCTGGTTCTCCTGTATTCGTTTTTTTCCCTCCTGTATTAGTTTTTAGGAGAGTTACAATACAGTTAAAAAAATTATAAAACATTTGTGTTGATCAAGATGTCCAAAAATCAGCTTGACTAAATTTTAGACAGGTTTCTTCCTGATCATAAGGCCCTGGACTCTCTTTTCTTAGCCCTTTTACAAAAAAAAAAAAAATTGCAGTTGTAAATTCTTTATCTCCCCTTTTGAGATATAATTCTTCTCCCAGTCTCTGGATAGTTTCACAACCCAAGAATGTCTTCTTCAAAGGCCTGCTTCCAAGGTCTGTCTCTATGAAATATAGTCATTGAGAATAACAGTAACCCTATCTCTCTGTCTCTGTGGAAGCTGGAGGCTAACTTCATTCATTCTTCATCATAAGTTTAGGTGAATTTTTTTTTTCTGGGTTTCTTCCACTGGAGAATCAAAGAGTTAACTCACTGGAAATAGATCATGTGAATGACTATAATACAGACATTCTCTCATTTACTAATCAGATTCTAGATGATTCTGGTTGTTTCTAGATTCTAGATAATCTAGTTGTTTCTGATTCTCTAGCTGATGAGCCAATTGTCCCTGTCACTCCAGCTAAACCTAAAATAGATTGTCCTGTTGTTCCTGATCCTTCATGGAATGGTCTTGTGGTTCCTGATCCTCCAGCTGCCTGTCCTGTTGTCCTTGCTTCATTGGAAGATCATCTACTTGTCTGTGATCCTTCTATGGATGGTCTGGTGGTCCTTGAACTTACAACAGAGGTTTTAATTGTTTCTGATTTTCCAGAAAATGATCTGTTTGTCCCTGACCCTTCAGGAAAGACAGCCTTCTGATTTTCCAGCAAAGCATCCAGCTGTTGCTAACCAAGTGATGGTCCAGATATCTCTGTCAAGTCTGCTGATGGTACAAATGTTTCTGATTCTGCAACAGCTGGTCCAGTTGTCCATGATCCACCAGTTGATGGTCCACTTGTCCTTGATATACCAGATGATGATCTAGTTGTTCCTAATTCTTTAGCTGATGGTCCAGTGGTATCAGAATCTCCAGATGATGATTCCATTGTCCCTGTCACTCCAGATGATGGTCCAGTTGTCCCTGAATCTAAAACAGATGATCTAGTTGTCCCTGATTCTTCACATAGTGGGTGAGTTGTCCTCGAAACTAAAACTGATGATCCCATTCTTCCTGATCCTCCAATGGATGGTCCTGTGGTTCCTGAACCTCCAGCTGCTCATCCAGTTGTTCCAGATTCATGTGATCTCGAGTAATCTCGAGTTGTCTGTGATCGTCCTGTAGATGTTTCAGTAGTCCCTAATGTTACAACAGAGGTTCCGGTTTTTTTTTTTCCTCTGATGCTCCAGCTGATAGTGCAATGGTCCCTGACCCTCTAACTGCTCTTCCAGTTGTCTCCGGTCCTCTAGGTGATGGTCCACTTGACCCTGCCAACCCTGTCGATGGTGTAGACATTCCTTATCCTACAACAAATGGTGCAGTTATTTTCAGCAGATGGTCCAGTTGTTCCTAACCAAGTGATGATCTAGATATCCATTTGAATCCTGCTGATGCTACAGATGTTCCTGATTTTACAACAGATGTTCCAGTTGTCCCTGACCATCAAGTTGATGAGCCAGTTGTCCTTGACATACTAGCTGATGATCTAGTTGTTCCTAATACTTTAGCTCTTGGTCCTGTCATCTCTGTGTTTCAAGGTGATGGTCTAGTTGTCCCTGGCACGCCAGATGATGGTCCATTTGTCCCTGTACCTATGACATATGTTCTAGTTGTTTGTAATCCTTCAAATGATGGTCAAGTTTTCCCTGAACCCAGAACAGACAGTCCTGTTGTTCATGATCATTCAGTCAATAGTCCTGTAGTCCCTGATTCCCCAGCTGCTTGTCTAGTGTCTGTGCTTTTTCAGCCAATTGTCCAGTTGTTTGCAATCTTCCTATGGATGGTCCAGTAGTCCCTGACTTTTCAACAGAACTTTCAGTTGCTTCTGGTACTCCAGCAAATAATCCTGTTGTCCCCAATCCATAAGCTAATGGTCCAGTTTTGCTAATCCAAGTTATGGTCCAGTTTTTCCTGCCAAACCTATTGGTGGTATACATGTTCCTGAGCCTACACAATAGGTCCAGTCATCTCTGACTCTTTAGCTGGTGATCTAGTTGTTGCTGAACCTGCTGATGATGGTCCTGTTTTTCCTGTCACTACAGATGATAGCACAGTTATCCCCAATCCTTCAGCTGATGTTCCAGTTATCCCTGGACTTCCCTCTGATGGTCCAGTTTTTACTGTTTATTCAACAGAATTTCCAGTTGTCTTTGCCAAAACAAGTAGTAAAAATTCTTGTCATGTTTTAAAGCTGTCATGTGTTTGTTTTTGTTGTTGTTTTTGTTGTTGTTGTTGTTGTTAACCTAGGGGCTCATGCTCTCTTTCCCCTCCACTATAGCTTTCAAGCCTCTTCATGGACACCAGTATATTTCATACTTTTTATTCTATGGTGTAACTTCCTCCTGGTTATGCTTTCAGCAATTCTTTATTGACTATCTTGTATGTTGTGTATGCTCCCAGCAACATGTAAGTATTACTCATTTTATCATCCGAACAACCTTACGGCATATATAGTACAACTTTCCCTTTTTATAGAGTAGAACCTGAAGTAGTGTTTCAATGATGTAGCTAGTAATTAGATAGTTCTTTGTTCTCATAGAGCATTCTAGTTGGATGTGAGAGATATGCAGACATATAAATGATATTACTATCCAATCAAACAAATTCACACAAAGAAAATTGTCAGAGCACTAATACAAAGTGAGGTGCTATTGAGCAACTGGGATTCTATTTTAGACTACTTGGCCAGCAAAGACCTCTCTGAAAAAATGTCCTTTTTTTTGAGATTGGAGAGAAGCAGAAAGCTATGTGAAACTCTAGGGAAATAGCATTCCAGACAGTGTGAACAGCCAGTGCAAAAGCCATAAGACTGAAATGAATTATATGAGGTAGAGAAGCAGAACTAGAAGGTGAATGTATTTAGATCATTGGAGGTTACAGGGAGGACATTAGAAGTTAAGGACAAATATATAGGATTGTTCAAGTTATTGTGTATATGGTGACAGAAGTTGGACTTTTCCTAAATGCAATGGAATATAATTTTATGCAAGGGAATGATATATTTGTATATATTTAAAAACCCTCTCACTACTCTATAGAGAATATATGGAAAAGAGTGTACAATAGGAGTAGGAAGCTTAGTTTGAGGTGATTTCAGTAATCAGGACTATTCATGAATGCTCTGGGCTAGAGTGGTGATAAAGGAGTTTGAGAACAGAGGATGGGTTTAAAATATGTTTTATAAGTAGTATTAGCAACCTTTGTTTTTACATGTGGGGTGCAAAATAAAAAGAAGAAAGGCATCAAGGGTAATTGTAATTTGTGTGTGTGTGTGTGTGTGTGTGTGTGTGTAAACTGTGTCAGTGATGGCACCATTTATTGATATGGGAAAGAACAGGAATATGGGATTGATATGGGAGAACACGTTGTGGATATGAAAATAAATAAGAATTTGGTCTAGGTCATGTCAATTCTGGAATGCCTATTAGATATCTAAATGGAAATGTCAAGTTAGCAACTGAGCATGAATCTAGACTTCCAGAGAAATCAAGATTAGAAACATATATTTGGAAATTTGCATCTAAGATGTCTTTAAAAATTTCCTGTACTTGAATTACTTCCTACAGATTATGCAACTACCCCCATTAGGCCTGTCTTGTTTCTGACTACCAGAAGTTTCTCTATGAGCTCAGTTTAAGGGCAAATCCCATCATCCAATTCATGCTCTTGCATTTTTGTACATACTAATTTGCTAGTACTCTGCCTCTGAAACCTCAAGTTTATTTTCTTTTTTAAAGAAAAGATTTTATGTATTTATTTGAGAGAGAGAATGAGAGAGGGAGCATGAGCAGGGTGAGGGGCAGAGAGAGAGAGGGAGAAGCAGACTCTCCATTGAGCAGGTGTCCTGTACATGGCTCCATCCCAGGAACCCAGGACCATGATCTGAACTGAAGGCAGATGCTTAATCGACTGAGCCACCCAGGCAGCCCATGAAACCTCAAGTTTATTTTCATTCAAGTAACTTTGAATTGCTATTTTGTTTGAAGTCTTGAAACAATCCCACCTTACCTCATATCCTGTCATCCATTAACACTAAGTAAAGAATAAATTTTGGTTTTCTCTATCATCTTTGGCATTCTAAAACCATGCTGGGCCTTGTGTCTTTTATTCTAAGCTCTTACTTCTTCCACTCTGTATCACAATTATTTCTATTCTGTCCTGTACAGTCCACATGCAATGATTTAAAAAATCTCTTCTATATGCTTAACTATTTAAAAAAATTCTTCTACCTCCTCCTGGCCTTAGTCCAATGTGACCAATTTTATAACAAATTGGCATCACCCAGAATGCTCTTGTTCTGAGATCCTATTATCAAGAATTCCTCCAAAGAACAGATGAGGATGGAAATCTTAGATTTGTAGGGACATGGATCTACACAATAGTGTGTGTGTGTGTGTGTGTGTGTGTGTGTGTGTGTGTGTGTGTGGTGCCTGTTTCTAGCAAAGCTTCACTATTTGGGTATAGCAGCAAATAACCTATTCCCTCCCAAATCTTTAATCCTCCTGGAAGGTTCTCTGTCAT